GCCCTTTAACATCATGTGAGTTATGTCTTTTATATGGGCTAGTAACAGCTGATTTTGTGGCTCAATCCCAATCGAAAATTATTTTGTGCTACTTTTGAAGCTCCTACTTACGCATGCACCGCGCATCCGTTAAGATGCAAAGTTCCTCAACCAATTTGGTTGATGGCGGGTGATACATAAGTAATGATTCCAATTGCCCCCGCCAGAAGCACTTAAGATACGCCATCCGCCATTCGCCATTAATCGCAGCTCCTTTTGAACAGACTGCCCTCGTTTGCCGTGCAGCCAGGACTCTATCCGCTCACCTACGTGCTCCTGACCGCTTCCGGTGCCTGCACCGTATTCGCCTTCAGCTTCGTGGACGGATTCTTCGTCTGCTCGTGCCTCTACATCTGCGGAGCTTTCCGGCTGGTGCAGCAGGACATTCGCAGGATATTTGCCGATTTGCATGACGGTGGGTCTGCCTCTCCTGCGGCGGCACGATGACAATGGCTTCCCCATCGCCCGTTGACTTTCCTTGCCCCGTTCCCTTGCAGATTCAGTGGATGTGTTCACGGAGGAGACGAACGCCGAGGTGCGGCACAGACTGGTCCAAGTTGTCGAGCGGCACAATGCGATTATCGATTTCTGCACGGACCTAACACGCCAGTTCACCGTTATCGTTTTAATGCATTTCCTCTTCGCCGCCTTCGTCCTTTGCTCGACCATCCTGGACATCATGTTGGTGAGTCCTTTTCCAGAGGCGTTCCTGGCAGGGGTATCCTTGGGCTCAACCGCATCCACTTAGTTTGCAATTAGCAATCGGGCCTGGCAATCGCTTAACTTTGTAATCCCATGCTGACCCCTTCAACATTTTGCCAGTTTGTTGCGCCACTGGATTTTCGCATCGCCTGCATTCGGCGGCTCTTTTAAAAGTTTTTCCCTGTTTTCCCTGCTTCACTGTTTGCTGTTTTTGCCTGGCTTTTCCAGCCGCTCCGTACTGATTCGCTTTTCCCCGATTTGTTTGTTTGCTTTGTGGCTGCGGCTGCGACTCTCCGGTGGCAATTTATAAGCGCATGAATTGTTACCGCTCCCGAAAAAGTTTTTAATGCGACTTTCGCACGTTTTCCGGTGTCCCGGACACCGGAGACCCATAAGCTGTTTGCTGCAACTGGCGAGCGGAGTGGAAATGGTGGAAATGTACGGGAAAGGCTCCTGGATCCTGGCTGCTGGCTCCTGGCTTCTGGCCCCAATGGGATAAATGCTGCCAGCAATTTCTTAGCCCTTCTGCCGCTTCTTTTTCGGCCCAAAGTGGTGTTGAGTAATCCATTCGAAACTTGTTTATCGCTCGGGGATCCTGCGACCAGCGATCTATTATCACTTTTTAAGTCTGCTGCGGCAAGAGGGTGGGAAAACCTATAAGACAGAGTTTTGACACGTGCTTGATAACGGACTTATGAATACCAAAAGTTTCTTCTTTTCTGAAGCTATTTTTGTGATCAATTTTATAACGCAAGTACATGCTGATTGTCAAGCTTAATAGAAATAGTAGGAAAAAGGATATGTAAGCCATGTAAGCCTGAAGTTTGCGACCTTCAAGCTCATTCCGAAAAAGAAGGAAAATTAATTCAGAAAGGGCGGAAATGCAATTTACTGTTGGCCAATCCCGTGGGGCACTTATAAAATCGAGCATTGTCACAGTTTTAGGCGCTCGACGACATGCATAAGATGCATAATTCTTTTTCAATGCCACAGTGGGAATGTCAGGCGAGTGGAAAATGGAAAAGCGAGAGGAAAAGCAATCAGACTGCAGACCATTTGCCAAAGTGCATTTCTCTGATGTTTTCCATTTTCGCAACTACTTCAAGCCCGCACGCGCCACATAATATGGCATATACATATATATATATTAGATAATACCCTGCAGTCTTTCACCACCAGCAATTTCGCTCCAATTAATGACGCTCCCAGCCCCGCATCGCCCCTACTTTTCACCTTCCCCCTCCAATTCTCCGTCTTCCGTCTCCGCAGAACACGTCCTCGCTGAGCGGCTTAACCTACATCTGCTATATCATCGCGGCCCTAACGCAGCTATTCCTCTACTGCTTCGGCGGCAACCACGTCAGCGAGAGTGTGAGTACGGCTCCTGACCACTCCCCAACTCCCCAGCTCCCCAGCTCACCCACTTTCCATTTTGCTGGACTCCGCCATTCACATTTTCATCATTCATTCGGCTTTAGATACTCTTGCGAAGGAGTTGTCACTGCCGTGCATGGCATCTATTACTTACCTAATCGAATAATTTAGTTTTTCCGTAACGCACTCTTTCACACACCTTATGAATATTTATTAAATTCTATAAATTTCGCATTACTCCCCCATTGCCATCTTGTTCTTTCCTGCTTTTAAGAATATTATGTGTATTTTTCACCACTCGCGTAATTTCCATTCGACGCTAAGCATTCAGCATTAGGCATTAAGCAGCCAGGCGGCCACATAAAAAATGATGTGCCATTCACAAATTGCACTTGCGATAAAATTTTAATTACACAACAAAGTGGAAGTGGGAATGTGCACCCACCCCCACCACCCAGCATCCGTCCACCCGATTCTGGTCCAGATTCCGTGCCACAACCCAACCCACCGACCACTTGCTTCTCCTTCCACAGAGCGCTGCTGTGGCGGACGTGCTGTACGACATTGAGTGGTACAAATGCGATGCGAGGACTAGGAAAGTGATTTTAATGATATTGCGGCGTTCGCAGCGGGCAAAAACAATTGCGGTGCCGTTTTTTACGCCCGCACTGCCAGCATTCGGATCTGTATGGAATGGCATGCGATGCGTTGATTATGATAATAAATGTTTATGTTTCTGTTTCTGTTTCCGTTTCCGTTTTCGGTTCCGCTGCCACTTCGATCCCCTGGCCACTGCAGATACTCAGAACAGCCGGCTCATATATCACGCTGCTGAAGACGTTCCTGTAAGCCCACGCGGCGTATGATTGATATGCCGGATTGGGCGGCTGTCCTTCGCCGCCCGTTTGTTTAAATGAAGAGCTGCAGCCGAACGGACCTCAAATTGCCTGTGAATAAAAGTGGACGGGTGGGCGGTTGCTCAACAAGTGCCGCCTGTCCTCGCCGTAATTGTTTCATTTAAATATTGCGCTGATCTCCGCGTGCGGATTCCAACTAATGAAAAACACTTGCGGCTATGGCCGCATTAATTGGCTCGTCGGTGGGGCAGTGGGGCAATGGTGGGGATGGTGCGGCTGGGTGCCACTGGATGGGGTTGCTCCACGGCGGAGACAGTAATGGCGTTTTTACGGCGCCATCTTGAGGTCTGCCGAGTGTTTGTCGTAACAACATTTTCGTTATTCTTTTCTCCGCCACAACAGCAGCAGCAGCAAATATCAATTATAATTTGTGAAATTCGAGACTGTTGGCCAAGTGTGGTGGAAGTTAATGCAGGGCTTAAAGGGATTTTAATATTTATAGCATAGAACATCTGTAGAGAAGAAAAAATCAAAGGCATATAAACTTCTTTATGCTCATCACAAATAAATACGTAATTTATTTACTCGGCTGCAGTAATGACGTGAATAAATCCCTATGAATTTATATGCCATTTGCTTTTTTCTTCGACCACTTCATTTGCATTTCTGTGAGCTCGGTTCGCTGGCATCCGCTCTTCAAAGGGATTTTCACTTGTTTCCCATCACTGCCAACTAATTGAGTTGGGAAACTCACTGAAATTGTGCATCTGCTAAGTACTCACCGCATTTCAGAAAGACATTAAAACTTTGCCACAGCCCCAAATGAAAAGCGCAATCGTTGCTTCGACTCGACTCGATTCGATTCGTTTCAATTCAGATTCAGATTCAATTCGATTCGATTCGAATCAGTTCGTTTCGTTTAGTTTCGTTTTCGGTTTATTGTTGAAAGAGTTCATTCCATTGATTTATTTATTGGTTTTATCATCACATAAATTATCTAAAATCTGCTTACTGGCTTACGTGTAGTAAATTCATGCCTACCCATGCTTTTACTCGCATGTGCAACACAAAACTTAGTCGAGCATGCCGCAATTGATTTCCATCGCAATTCGCTTTCGCTTTCCGCATATTGCATTCGCATTCGCATTCACATTCACATTTATTTTATTCAATTGCCATTCCCATTTCGGCGGCGAGTGCCGCGTGACTAAATTTCATTTTGCCCATAAATAAATTCCGCACAAGTTAGTGTTTATAATTAAGTTTTTGCTTTTAGTTGATCAGATGAGAGTTTTTGTTCATATATATTACAATCTTTCGGTAGTGTGGGTGTTACTTGTGTGTGTTGGGGTATTTGGGTGTTACTTGTGTGGGTGACTGGGGCGTGGCATTCTCTTATCATATCCTCCATTTTTTCGGTTAGCTTTGCTGCTGTTGAGACAGCATGAAATGTTTATAAAGTCGATGCGTGTGCGGCTCCTTCATAAAAGAGCGGCAGTAATGAAATAAAATACACACTTTTGTATCTGTAACTATATCTGTGAGCGGGGCCGCATCTTTGTGGTATTTACAGAGTGTCGTCCTTCTGGTCCTGTGTCCTGTGTCCTGCGTCCTGCGTCCTTCCTTTGTCCTTTGTGCCTTGTGCCCCTTCCTCCTCCGGTCCGTGCATTTCACATTCTGCATTTTGCATTCTCGTGCCCGGCTCAGTGTCTCATTTTGCACAATGAAATGTAAATATTAAAAGGAAAACAAACATTCGCCTGAAAGGGAAAGCGCCTGCCTTGTTTGCCTTTCCCATTTTCCTCCTACCCACTGGCGCCCCCTCCTAAAAAAAAAACAACAGAACAGCACAGCACACAGAGTAAAAATTCCGACGTCATGGAACATAATTTCCTCGTTCAGCTGCAATTAGAGTGCTAACAACTTGCGCTTTCAGTTGCCAGCTGCCAGTCCCGCTCGCAGCAACAACAACTCCGGCTCCGGCAGCAGGCGCAGCTGGAGGAGCAGATGGCGGAGCAGCTGGAGGAGCAGCTGGAGGAGCAGCTGGAGCGGACCGGGGGCGCAAGGACACGCCCCGCTCTTCTGCATCGCAGCGGGATTCTCATCTGGGGAGACAAACAGTGGCATAATGAACATGTGTATTCAAATTTCGACGAGGGCACAGCGCCATGAGCAAATAACTTAATTTAATTGTGACCTACACTGCGAACAATTGCTGTGCGAATAATGGATGTGGCTAGCATCCTCTTGCGCCTAAAAATATTTTATAAGTATGCATTGCATTTTAACAAGTTTCCTCATTTACTTCGGCAAGTTTCTTGATTTAAAGTAGCATAGCATATGGCATATAGTATGGATAACTGACTTTGGTACTGATTTTCCACCATGTAGCACTGGAAGTGACTGCGAAATGAGAAATGGGTGAGTGGAGCAGGGGCGTGGTTGTTGTTGTTTATTCCGACTAGATAAATGACATATGTGCGTCTGCGTATACGCAATATTTCTGCGGCCTTTCTCGCCGAGCAAATGTTATTCCAGGCGCATCATTTGTCAATGCTTTGTTTTGACTCGTCACAAAGGATACGTTGCCCACGACCCCGCCCCCGTTCCCGCCATCCTGGCACTGATTTTTAAGGACCCAGCGCGTCGGGATGTGGGCAATGAATAATGGGTGGAATATGCTCGACGAGGGCAGGGTATCTGGTGAGGGGTTCCATAAATAAGACACGAAATTGGAATTCCATTTCGGCTAAATCATTTTTTGCCAGCCCCAAAGGAAGCGGCTTTCAAGTGCGTTATCTAAACTTTTCCTAGTGCCCATAAATCCTAAAAAATTAAGACATCACTCGGCCTTAGCTTGAGTTACTTATTATATCGCTCACTTTGCGAAACTCCCGGTAGAGCATCTCCCTGGTCGCCTTTACACCGCCTAGACCAGCACTTTGCCCTTATCATTTTTCTTAAAATTTTATTGCCTTTGATTTATTATCTGTATTTATGCAAGCTGTCACAGCGCCAGTCACAGTTACAGTCACCGCTACAGTCACAGCCACAGTCACAGTGGCAGTGGCAGCAGCTCCTCTTCTACGTCTTGTCTGCTATCTGGACTCCCATCGCCACCCCAGCCCATCCATTCCATCCCGAACCCAACTCGCGGCCTCTGTGCCACATGTGGGGCATGATTAAGTGCCTTTTTGCAACTTACTTCTGACATTTAATCATATTTATTACGGCTTTGCAGCGGAGGATGTAGTGGGCGCAGCGGATGGCGGCTCTTTAAAATGTAAATGCCTGTCCGTACAACAATTTCATTTGAATAAACAACTTAACAACTTAAGTGCTGGACATTTCGCTTAACATTTGATGCTGCATAAGAACTAAGACTACGAGCGAAATGACTGGGCGAGGCCTTCAATTTGCTGCGAATGTCCTGCCATAAAAGGTCATAAAAAACAGTGGAAATTGCCGGACAAAAGACGCGTCAAGTTTATGCCCCTCATTTCGCAGCTTAAAATGTCTTAATTCCCGTCTAATTTATGTGTAAAATATGCAAAGCCAAGTCACTGAGTTGTGCTCCTCCATTCGCATTACTCATACGCCACGGATGCCAGCCCAAAAGACTCCCGAGCAAACAGTCGACCAAATGATGGAGTGGGGCTGAAAAGTTTTAGTTTTTAGGCCGTGTCTGGCGTTGGCTACACTGCTGGCCATAAAATTATTCACCCATCTGCCAAGTGAAGGGCTGTGCTACTAAATGATAGTTTGCTCTTGGGGGTTAGCTACTCCTCGGGAAGCCGCTACCTTTGCCACCCTTTGTGCACCAACTTCTGGCTGACAGTGTAACGGATAGGCTTATGCCGACCTGGCCAGCACCTGAGACGACAGTCGTAGGCTTTGGTGCACTCAAAGAAAATAGCAAAACAAAATGGATTTACATGGGGAATCCTTTGGCCTGGAGCTCTGCAATCGGAGCTCATAGCTCATAGGTGGGATTGCAAAAAAGGGAGTAAGACTAGTCAGCTATTGTTCCCAGTGTAGGCCACACTCGCTCACACATTCCCAGGACTCACCATTAATCACATGGACCAGGACACTGGCGCTGCTGGCCGTCGTTGGCTGACACGTGTAGTTGCCGGTGTCCGTGGTCTGGGCATTCGAGATGCGGAGCCTGCGGAGGATTAAGCAGCGCACTGAGAAGCAACTCAATTAGGAGCTGGGGGGCAGAGGTGCACTCACCTGGACTTGAGGGTGTCGCCCAGCTGCGATTCCATGGCGATGCGTGTGGCGAACTCCATCTGCAGGTCCACCTCGCTCATTATGTCATTGAGGGACGTGTCCTCCGGGTTCCTTTGGGGATGCTCGCTCCTGCCGGCCGGCGGCTCCGGCTGTCCATCATCCGCATCGAAGGGTGTGATCATGTGCTCGCCGCGATACCAGTATATAGGCCCAATGTCCTTCACCGACGGCTGCTGCACCAGGCAGTTGAGGATTATGGCGCTGCCCGCCTTGAAGTGCAGATCGGGTGGCCCACTGATGACCGCCTTGGCATCCGGGGAGATTTCTGCCAAAAACAAGCCACAAACGAATTGGAAAACATGCATCGTAGGTGGGAAACCGAAATCAATTTGGGGCAATCGCTCGTAAAACGAATTCGCAACCAACTGAATGAACGTAAAAACTTTTAATCATAAAACTTTATGGAATAACTTTTCAATTGCACTAAATTTAAGTAAGCCCACGAAAAGGGAGGCTGCAGTGGGCAGTTGGTGGCAAAATCACACCACACACGTAAATGAACTTGTATGGCAGGGTGCGAGTGTGTGTGTGCGTGGGTGCCACACACTCACACACACACACCCATGTGGAAAGTCGCACTGGCTGCTCCTGCGAAACTGGGTTAATAATAATATTTATTATGCATTGGACTGTGCAAATAATAATAATTAAAAAATATACCCAAAAACGGGAGACATGCGTGGCCGAATGAAATAAAAAACTCTATCGCCGCACCGTGGGATTTCATGTGCACAGAATTGGTATTTCAAAACGGCTATTAACCATTTAGCTCTATTAAAATCCCGTGGTATTGTAGGTGCTAAGTGATATGTAATATGTAATAAGTAATATGTAGGTAAACCTCAATCGATTCGGGCTCTTTTGAACCACTGTGACCACGGAGCAGCTCATAAAAGTGCATATGATGATGATTACATGGGTCGCAGGATGCTCAGGGGTTTCCCGACGGGCAGGGGCGGTGAGAGGGGGTGCCGGGTGTTCGGGGGGTTAAAGTGTCTGCCAGAGATCTGGCTTCATTCCACGGCTCACTTCCATTCTCACTGGCTTTTCCAGCTGTTTGTTTGCGTCTGTGGCATATGTGCCAAGTGTGAGTTAAAAAATCCCATTGCGCCATTAAGTGCGTGTGTATTTGTATCTGCTTGGGCCCCCTCGGCCACGCCCCCTTTTGGGAGAGTGTTTGTGCAGTGTCACTGCGTTAAAGGCAATTAACACCCGACGCAGGGAGGGAGGGAGGGAGAGGGCAAATGCGGAAAGAGACGGCGACAGGCAGCTGCAGCAACAATTTGCCCAAACCCACTGTTTTTCATTTCATTTCAGATTTTCATTTTTCCTTCATTTTTCAGCAGCTGTCGCTAAAGTTCTGCGTGCATTTTGTGTGGCGGCGCATGAAGTTTTTTAATTTAAATATTTCATGAAAATAAAATGCACTGCGACCTGCCAGCAGCAACAAAACTAGAGCAGAAAGCGGGCCAAAAGTGGGCTTTCTCTAAGGTCAAATGGCTGTAATTACCACTTAGACGAGCACGAAAATAGAAATGGTATCAAGGCAAAAGCCGCATTAAATTCTGCGAAAATGTTGATGGGATTTGGAAATGCGCTGAAAAGTATACTTTAAACTAAATGAAGTGGAAACTGTGGCAATCCTTGCATACGCTTCTTTAATGCAGTGGAAATAGTGCATTTTGCATATGAAAACCTATTGAAATAACAGAGCGGCACATTTTTAAAGTCGTGAAAGAAACGATGAAAGTTCTGTTTACGGAATGCGTTGTTTGTATCCTTCATTCAAGGGATTAAACAATCAATTACCCTGCTAATTGCTGTTGAAATATGGTGGGAATATATTTTTCTTAAATTATGCGTGCATAAATACAACCTTTTAAATTGTCATCTTAGGGCATACTTTATGCATATTTATATTGGTTATTTTACGGTGCTCCGTGGCGGACGTTACGCCCTGGGCAGAATTTATATCAGGCATAAATCTCGTTTCCGAAAAAAAAAAAAATGGGAAAAACTGTGAAACGTTGAGGGAAAATAAAATCGTTTGGGTGGGACGCATAAATTTACATAATGACATTAATTAAATGCAATGCACCGCAACAACGAGGCAAGGAGCTCCAGGAGCTGGAGCAGGAGCAGGAGCAGGAGCAGGATATGGACAACGAAGGCGACACAGGAGCGAAGAGTTAAGCGCCTTGCGAAAGTCACTCATACGACACGTATGCCGATAATGTTATTAAGGACGCAGCCAGTTTGCCAGTTTTCCAGCTTGCCAGGCTGTCAGCAGTGGCCAGCGCGGAGTGTCCAGTGACCAGTGGACAGTGCTGTCATGCTCCTTTGGAAATTGTTTCATTAACGTAAATTAAAATGCATACGGCCATGAAGAAAATGTAATCGGAAATTCGTTTGTAAGCGTCGGAGCAGGAAATCAGGAAATCAGGAAAGGAGCTTGCTGTGACAAGCGGACAGACAAAAATGCATTGCGCCCAAGTGCATAATCGGAAACTTAAAAAGGCATTGCCGACTGATTTGCATAAGTGGCTGACAGCAGATGCCGACAGGACCTGTCAGCAGCTCGCTTCCGAGTTGTCCTTTATCACACCCACCTCATCCCATATATCCTGCAGCCCCTCACTTCATCCACTTGTCGCCCCAAAGTGCCGATGATTTAAAGACCCAACAATTGCCATCTTAATAGCGTCACCTTAAGCCCGAAAGTGCCTTACACAGCCCTTAAAATCAATCCGTAAATTGATTGTTTTTTAAACGGATTCAGATTACGAATTAACGAAAATACAATGAGGCAATCGAGGGATGCAGCAATCACATTTTGCGTAGGTAATTGTGTTTTTTTATACCCGGTACTCGTAGAGTAAAAGGGCATACTAGATTCGCAATTCCCTAAAAATCTGCATTTAAATTTATAACATTTTTTTAACTTATTTTTTTTGTAATTTTTCTGATGTATTATGTTGTAGAAATTCAAAAAAATTAAGAAATGTCCTAAGGCTGAACTTCTAAGCTCCATAACTCAACTTATCTTCATCGGATTTTGAAGTGGCATACCTCTAAATGTTTCTGGCGCAATTCTCTAAAAATCTGCATCCAAATTTAGAAATGTATTTTTTTTAAATTTTTTTGTAATTTTTCTTATGTATGATGTAGAAATTCAAAAATATGTCCCACTGCTGAAGCTCTATACTCCATAACTCGACTTATCTCAATCGGATTTGGAAGTGGCATACCTCAAAATGTTTCTGGCGCAATTCTCTAAAAATCTGCATTCAAATTTAGAAATTTATTTTTTTTTAATTTTTTTGTAATTTTTCTGATGTATGATGTTGTAGAAATGCAAGCAAATTAAGAAATTTCATAAGGCTGAACTTCTAAACTCCATAACTCAACTTATCTTCATCGGATTTTGAAGTGGCATACCTCAAAACGTTTCTGGCGCAATTCTCTAAAAATCTGCATTCAAATTTAGAAATTTATTTTTTTTTCATTTTTTTGTAATTTTTCTGATGTGATGATGTTGTGGAAACTCAAAAATGACTCAAGGCTGAAGTTCTAAAGTCCATAACTCAACTTATCTCAATCGGATTTTGAAGTGGCATACCTTAAAATGTTTCTGGCGAAATTCTCTAAAAATCTGCATTCAAATTTAGAAATTTATTTTTTTTAAATTTTTTTGTAATTTTTCTGATGTATGATGTTGTAGAAATGCAAGCGAATTAAGAAATTTCATAAGGCTGAACTTCTAAACTCCATAACTCAACTTATCTTCATCGGATTTTGAAGTGGCATACCTCAAAATGTTTCTGGCGCAATTCTCTAAAAATCTGCATTCAAATTTAGAAATTTATTTTTTTTTAATTTTTTTGTAATTTTTCTGATGTGATGATGTTGTGGAAACTCAAAAATGTCATAAGGCTGAACTTCTAAACTCCATAACTCAACTTATCTTCATCGGATTTTGAAGTGGCATACCTCTAAATGTTTCTGGAGCAATTCTCTAAAAATCTGCATTCAAATTTAAAAATTAATTTTTTTTTCATTTTTTTATAATTTTTCTGATATTATGATGTAGAAATTCAATAAAATTAAGAAATGACCAAAAGCTGAAGTTCCATACTCCATAACTCAACTTATCTTAATCGGAATTGAAGTGGCATACTTCAAAATGTTTCTGGCGCAATTCTCTAAAAACCTGCATTCAAATTTAGAAATTTATTTTTTTTTAATTTTTTTGTAATTTTTCTGATGTTGTAGAAATGCAAGCAAATTAAGAAATGTCATAAGGCTGAAGTTCTAAAGTCCATAACTCCACTTATCTTAATCGGATTTTGAAGTGGCATACCTCTAAATGTTTCTGGAGCAATTCTCTAAAAATTGCATTCAAATTTAGAAATTTATTTTTTTTTTATTTTTTTGGAATTTTTTTGATGTGATGATATAGAAATTCAAATAAATTAAGAAATGTCCTAAGGCTGAACTTCTATACTCCATAACTCATCTTATCTTCATCGGATTTTGAAGTGGCATACCTCAAAATGTTTCTGGCGCAATTCTCTAAAAATCTGCATTCAAATTTAGAAATTTATTTTTTTTTTTCATTTTTTTGTAATTTTTCTGATGTGATGATGTTGTGGAAACTCAAAAATGACTCAAGGCTGAAGTTCTAAAGTCCATAACTCAACTTATCTCAATCGGATTTTGAAGTGGCATACCTTAAAATGTTTCTGGCGCAATTCTCTAAAAATCTGCATTCAAATTTAGAAATTTATTTTTTTTTCATTTTTTTGTAATTTTTCTGATGTGATGATGTTGTGGAAACTCAAAAATGACTCAAGGCTGAACTTCTAAACTCCATAACTCAACTTATCTTACTCGGATTTTGAAGTGGCATACTTCAAAATGTTTCTGGCGCAATTCTCTAAAAACCTGCATTCAAATTTAGAAATTTATTTTTTTTTAATTTTTTTGTAATTTTTCTGATGTATGATGTTGTAGAAATGCAAGCAAATTAAGAAATGTCATAAGGCTGAAGTTCTAAAGTCCATAACTCCACTTATCTTAATCGGATTTTGAAGTGGCATACCTCTAAATGTTTCTGGAGCAATTCTCTAAAAATCTGCATTCAAATTTAGAAATTTATTTTTTTTTTATTTTTTTGGAATTTTTTTGATGTGATGATATAGAAATTCAAATAAATTAAGAAATGTCCTAAGGCTGAACTTCTATACTCCATAACTCAACTTATCTCAATCGGATTTTGAAGTGGCATACCTCAACATGTTTCTGGTGCAATTCTCTAAAAATCTGCATTCAAATTTAGAAATTTAATTTTTTAAATTAAATTTGCAGGTGATACGACAAAGTGTGGAATATAAATCATGTTATTAAGAAATCCACTTCCCTGCAACCAGAAACCCATTATGTCGTTTCGAAATCAGGCCATCATCAATTAATCATCGTCGGTAGATTTCGAAGTCACTAATGCACACAATAGACATTGTTTGCGATGGTAGAACAGGAAACCGGACCGGTGACTGGTGACTGGTGACACACTGCCTGCTAATTATATGCGGACACACGCATTATGCATGGCTCATTAAAACGCCGAATACATTTCCAATCGGTGCTCGAAATCCCGCCGGGTTGACATGCTAATTAACTCAGCGACTACGGCGCCATGTAAGCTCCATGCGATCCATGAGCTGCTGGGCCCAAAAACCAGGAGTAGGAGCAGGAGCAGGAGTGACAGGACCTCGACCTCGCTTTTTATTTGTTTATTTATTTATGGGCCGAAATGCGAAATTAAAAATGTATGCCCCTAGGCGCTCGAGCCAAACAAAACGAAACGAAACGGAAACCGGTGCCCCTTCGGATAGGATGAAATAATCATAATTGCGAGGAGCCGCCGCCCGACAAGTGAATTAACATTTTTAATAAGCCCGGCGGCGAAGAGGTAAACAGTAAACATTCGGGCCACGGCAAATCCCATTCAAATAATCATTGCAATAAAATTAAATTTATTTAGAGACTCAAATGGCATTGGGCGGCATTACCACTCACTCACAACCACAACCACTCACCGATGATGTTCAGCTGAAAAGCCATGGACATCTTGGGCTCCGTGTTCACCTGGCACTCGTAGATGCCGCTGTCCTTGGCCAGCGGCGACTTCACATGCAGCGTCCACTCCCGCGAGTCCTTCGATTCAGTCACCTGCCAGGACACAATTCAGATTTACAGATTTACAGATTTCGCTTCAGCTCGCATCATTTCCATACGTCCTGCCATTCTCGGCGGAATAATTATTCGCTTTTGAGGCAACAATTTGCACGGCTGCCAGTGTGTGTTTCTCGCATTTTTTCATGGAAATTAAGCAATTATACAATTGAATGTTTGTTTGTTTACCGCCCGTTTTGCAACTGCAGCACAGTGGCCAAAAATAAAAACAACGTCGAGGGGCTGAGAGTTGGTTGCGGACTTGCCTGAGTTATGAGCTGGATTAGCCATTGAAATATCGTTTATGCATGCATAATGAAAGTGGCCTTATGGCCATAATTCCCCTGAGAGCCGGAGTTAGCTTTTAGGTTGTGGCTAATGCCAGGTGGAAAGTTTATCGGGATTTGCTGTGTTGCCAGCTAATCTGTGAGTGGATCTGGGCAATGCCCCTGGTGCTTTGGAATAGATTTACAGGTACAACGTAAACTAAAGCTGACAGCTGGTAACTTAGTGTTCGTGCTCAAATATATGTGGGGATATCACTATCCACAGTGTCGGAAGGAAAATTCGTTGAGAGTTGAGAGCCCTTCAGAGTATCATTTCCCCACATTTCATTATACACAGTGAGCCACTGTATCTGCTGACTTTGAGACCCGAGTTAAGCATCGCATTCAATTAGCCAGCGAACGGAGGACTCCCGCGACATGGAACCCACCTGGAATCGCTTGTCCGAGGTGTAGGTGGCAGTGCCTACAGTCAGGATATGCAGATCACGTTTCCGTATCCAGGATACCTGTTGAGCGAAACGAAAGGCGAAAGAGGGCGACAAAAATTGATTAACGAGTGCACATACATATGATATACTTGATGTCCTTGGCACGCATCTTCATCACTTTGCGCCCGCAGGACTCGAGGGGGAGGGAAGGGCATTCCCGGACTCACCGATTTATCATGCAGACTGTCCACGCGGCATTTAATTATGGCCTCCGTGTGGCCAGTGCGTCCGGTGATGTTGCGCGGCATGCCAAAGTCGAAAATTGGCAGCGACTGCGAGGTGTCCGCATCCTGCGACTCCTCATCCGCCCCGCCGCCACTCCGCCCCCGCTCCGCGTCCGTCTGGGCAAACAGATCGGAGCCAAAGGACGCGTCCAGGAAGGCTAAACTCTTGAAAGTGTGATTCGTGGCTTCCGTTTGCGGCCCGTGCGCCACCGCAAACGATGAAATACTGGATGGAGCTGGAGATGGGGATGATGCGGATGCGGATGCTGATGATGCTGAGGGCGATGGCGACGATGATGACAGGAATGTCGACAGGGTTGGCCCATCACCGGAGTCATCCGGATGCCCAGTGGAGGCGGCCGCCGCAGCGAGTCCTGCAAGAAGACAAAGGAAAGGGGGCTGAGCACTAGACGGAGAAGCAGGAAAAGGATGAGGACACTAAGAAAAAAGTGATACATCACTTCCTCATAGAAAGAAAAATACTGCGACATTCAGGACAGGCGTTATTGCATACATTTTGGAGCTCTTAAAGAAGTGCGAGCATTATAATATTCATGGCGTTCCTCTGCTTGTATTTTCACCAAATCAAATACACCCTCTTTTGCCACTGTGTAAGGCGCTCGCCTGCTTGCTGTTTTTCTCCATCGCCTTGTTGGCCAAATGAATTTATAACTCGGTCGACTGCCCCTCCTTCCACCCATTCATCTTGCCGGGTCTTTTGATTTGATTTGTAACCACTTTGGCCACAACTTTTTCCTCCCCCCGCTGGAGCGACCACAAAGTAACTTCCATTCAATTCGCTTTCATCCTTGCTTGCCGCCCTCGCCCCTCGCCCCTTGCCCCTCGCCACTCGCACAATTTAAGCAAATAAATTCCGTTTTGGCTTAAAAGTGCGGGCCGCGCCCAATTTGCATTTAATTTATTAGCGCTTCGCATTTTTATCCGCCACTGCATATGTGCACAAATATTTTGCATATCCATGCAGCTGCCGTTTTGCGTGGCAACAATTTAAGCGAATCCACAGAGCCAAAGTGACAAATTCAATTTGTGCGCGCCAAAACAATAAACGGAACAGAAATGGGGGAAATAATATGCAACAAGCTACAAATAAAGTCAAAACGAAATATTAAGCATCCGCCACGTTGTCTCGACAGCAGCGACAGCAAATATTTGCAAATATGCCAACTACACAAGTACAGCAAAAAAAGCAGGCGAAATATAAAAAATTACTTTTAAATTCAAATCAACAGGGAATTCAATGTGGGCGAGCGGCAGTCGAGGGGCGTGGTGGGTGGTACCGGGAAAATGCCCAGCTGAGAGTCGGGAAATTGGGGATATTGGATTGAGTTTGAAGTTGGCAATAAAGTTAAAATAGAATTTTTCTTGGCAGCCAGGGGATTTTCGACTACAACAGCTTTGGATCGCCCAATGTAAAGTCATCGGAGGAAACAGTTTTAACACTCAAATGGAATTATCATTGGCTTTTGGGCATGTAGACCATCTAGGAAATGCATATCTTCAAGTATCCTGTATGTTTCTCATCTATTTACAGCAGAGGCCCTCCGTAAAATGGTTTCTTCTACGCACGCACACGGCCATAAAATGTGTAAGGAGATTTTTGAGCACTGCTGCAGCTGCCTTAATCCTGTTTCTATTGTCACATAATTTTCAGTCAATTCCTGGGATTATCCTGCCTCGTCCTGCGGCCTGGCCGCAACCTCCTAGGGTATCCTGGCATTCGGGGCCGCCGTCGAAGCCATGTTATATGCGATTCTCGAGCGGAGTGCCCTGGCAAACAAACTTTTTATTTTGTTGCGACCTACTTAAGGGTTCCGCCCCCCGCCCGTCCCGTCCGCCCCTCTGCCCCTCTGCCGCGGATGCCGACTGTGAGTCGTCTGGGTTCACCACATGAGGTCATGGAAATGCTTTCCGTTTGTTGTTTTCTTTATGCGCTGCTGTAAAGTAAAGTAGCAAATTTGTATTTTATTGTTTGTCGCCGGCAAGAATGCGGGTAGAGCGCAAAAACACCACCCACACACACGGAAAAGAAAGCTAAAAAATGTGCGTCTGCCAACGCTGCGAATGAGTGATTCTCCCCCGGCCGCTAAAGGAATTTTTCCAGCTAAATGCTCAAAGGGAAAGTCGACGGTGAGCGAAGTGCTGCCGGGAAATTCCCAGCCATTTTCCCCGCCAGCTGCGGTGGCAGCAGCAGCTGTGTAAGCGATTTTCCATCATCACCATCAATAACTTCATCATTGGCATGCCGTTTTCCAGGCCATTCCCATTCGCAACCGCTTGAAGGTCCGCCGGAAAAACAGCGAAACTTTCTAAACAAATTTAAACAAATAAAGCAGCAGTGGCAGCTCTGTTGTTCTGTGGATTTTCCGGCTACTTTTTGCACTAAGCCGCAAAGCTTTTTTTGAGTATTTCCTTTACCAAATTCTTTTTTTCGGGCCTACTCCCCGGGGGGGTGGGGGGCTGTTGAGAGGGGATAACCCCCCGTCAAACCCCAAAACTGATTTCGCACTGCAGCCAAAGGCGGCTAAAAGTTGGTCGCCGCGTTTTGTGTTTTTGGCCAATGTTTGCTGTAGGTCGCGGCACGCCCCCCTCTCCAGCCTCTTCAGCGCTTCCGGGCCAGGACCTGCTACACTCCTCCACCCCCCTCCAACCCACCGCTCGCTCCTTTGCTGTGCCAAAAACTCACATACACAGCTGCCACAAGTGTTTCGGCGAAATATTCGTGCTGCGCCTGCAGCGATTCGTGTGCATTTGGCAAAGCACTTAAAATGACAAAAATAACAGCAAATTCTAGACAAGCGAGGCGTACAAAAGGAGCGAGCCAGCGGACAGGAGGTGGATCCGAATCCTGCCAAGCATTCGGCTCTGCACGGGCTGTTCCCGCAATCCTTTCCACTGTATCTAGTATCTTGTATCTGGCTTCGGCTTGGGGTTGTCAGCGTTCTGGGGATACAGGCAACGCTTTAAAGCAGCCAGTTAACGCAATTAGAGCTGCCACTAAACTTGGTAAACTTACCAGCTTCAGTGGTATCTAAATGAAGTGAAATTCGAACCATGCAGTTAGCAGATACTGTTTTTAAAGATACATGTTTTTAAAGATTGCATGGCCTGATGTGTTTGCTTGTAATACATATTTGAGCGGCATAAATAATATAAAATGTCTCCTATTTTAGGGTTTTTTTTGGGGCCCACGACGAACCCTTTTCAGAACACTATTTGATGCCCCTGCTGACAGCATTTTCTATTTAAAGCCTCGAAAAAATGCCGCCTAAGGGCGAGTGCTGGAGTTGGGGGGAAAAACAAGCAAATAAATTGAAATGGCAGGCAATTGAAAACTACCCATGGATTTGTCAGACTCTGTCTGGCTTAGCGCCGCATAAGCATATACAATTTTCCGGCTTCGGATATGAGTGTATGAAAATGCGGCTGTCAGCCGGGCAGAACGGAAATTTCCCACCGAGAAGACGGCGCAAATGTCAAGAGATTGGACGGGGTTCAATACACGCCATAGCCGGATTCGTCTGCTGCCCGCCCAGAAATCTGATTATTTATGAAGTGCCTCGCCGGTTGCTCTAAGCTCCGTGTCCTGAAGTCTGAGTCATGAGTCCCAGGTCCCGACTCCTGGGCCTTAGGAGTCCCAGCGGAGTGGCAAGTGTCTATAAAAATAGCAAAACACCAGACGAATCATAATGAGTTCGGGACTCGGCGCGACTCACGTACCGAAGGACTCACGTGGCAGGACCTCACATCCTGGCCGCTCATTGTCATCGTTAACACTCGTTTAATGTCGCCCATAAAGGACCCGCTGGCGCGCCCTCTGTTCTGCAATTAAAGGCCTGTTCATGGGAAAGGACGCAGGATCTGAGCCAAAGAGATTTACATAATGCCGAACAATATGGCCGAGGATGGCAACTATTTTTACATGCCCATAATTTGATGACGACAATGTCTTGGCATAACAATGAGATGCGACTTCATCCGAGGACCTCATGTAAATTTCATTCTGCTGACTTAAAGGACCTCCGGCCCACCGAGGCTCACACATGTGTTTTGTGGGTTTTCACTGCCCAGATTTGGTTTTTCCTTCCATTTTTTTGATTTTGTTGATTTCTTTGATTTTCTCTTTATTTTCGAGCTGCCATCGAGCGGATTTGTTTCGTGTGTGAAATCGAGCGTGAATGTTCAACGTAAATAAAATTCAATTTGGCATTTTCCTTTTAACTCAATTTATGTGTCAAGTGAAAGTGGATTTGACTCGGACAAACATTGTGTGGCCATTTGGCTTGCCCCGTATCAAAGTTATAAATGAATTTATAGCCGACTTTTCGCCCCGTTCCCCCGCCCGTTCAGCCTCACAAAATTAATAGCATTTGGGCCAGCGGATTGATTGAATTAACCCGACCAGCGATAATATTTCAGCCACGGGGCTTCTGCAACATTGCTGCCAACCAACAAGCGTTTTGCAATGTCGCTTAATTGATGCAGTTTGACGGTTACATTTGCCCAAAAAAACAGTCGATTAACTCGCCACTCAGGTGAACTTATTTAATGCACTTATTCGGGCTGAACCAGGTGAGAAGATTAACTGCTGTTAATAACTGGGGCTTGCAATCCAATCCTTTTTCATTCGCCTCATCACATGAGCGCACTAATGCGTTCGAGTATTGTCTGCGAATTGAATGGGCGGCGTGAAAGTTATTTAATTTACACTTAATTGGGGCAATTTTAGTTTACGGCACTCACATTGAAAACTCGGGGAATATCAAGGCAATCTGGCAATCAAACTGAATTTATGATGCTTAAGAGCACTGATGAATCATGGACCAGCTATTGTACTCAAAACTCATCCGATCCGCACTGAATCATATCTGCAACTCGGTTATCTCCTGTCCGTTTCCATTCCGCATGCAAAACGAAAATCGAAACAAATAGTTCCCCGAAGAATCGATTTGCGGAAGACAGCTCAAAACATTTTTGTGGCCCACACACACACGCACACACACACACACACAACGAAAGCAGAAACGCACACTCGCACCGTCAGACAAATTTCACATAATCAATTCTGGTTTTAGGCCCCTGGCTTCATTGTATTGGGGATCGGGGTTCGGGGGACAGATGTCCAGGAGGCGAGAAGTGGAGCTCCAGCTGCTGATGGATGTCTCTGGAGCAATACATCAGGCCAAATTAGCAGTTTGTGTTCCATGTTCGAAAAGCCAAAATGCACAGCGTTGTGGGGGCCAGAGATTTGAGATTTACTGGCAGGGGAAAGCGAAGCCTTCGGTAAACAGAAAGAAAGTAATGATACTCCCAGCTATCTCGATGCTATTATATTTATTTAATCACATCATACAAG